TTAAACAGCCCATTACTAGACATTGATTGCAGTTAACACCAACGTCAGACTGTATTAATCGTTCCATTCTTCCGCTCGAGTGCCTCTGCACAGACCTGAACCTGAGTGCTTATCTGGGATCATTTAACAAGGTTTGAGGAAGTGAAGGGATTTCTGTCAGTGTATATCACATCACTCCTGCTGAGTTTAGTCTGGCTGTTTGAAAATGAAAGTTGTAAATGAAGTGAATGTTATAGAAAGAGACAAATCAGATGTTTCAATGCTAACGGGGCAAAGAGGGGAGCAGTCTGATAAAAGCTAGAGTAGCAAGGTCATGCAAGACTTGTCTGTTTCCAGCAGGGATTTTGAGTTACCAGTCAGCAATTTCCACAAGTGGCTGTAGGAGGGGGGAAAGGGAGAGCAAGCACTTAAGAGCTAAACACAATATTGCAAGGAGTAAAAAGGAGAGAAGACAGAAGTCACAACTATAGTGGTGACAGGGAGATGCTGAACATGATAATAAGGAACTCATCTTAGCAACTGCAAAGCCATCTGGACATACAAGGGAAGATGAAACTGGAGCAGAAATTGGCCAAATTTAAATCACAAAAAAGGATCTACAGTACCACGAAAACGTCTGGGGCCACTTGTTGTTTCTTTATATATTGCTAAAATATAAAGAAATGAAGAGGAAAATGGGAAATAGTTAAAGTGAAAATATAAATGGAAATACAGTATATAAGGCAAAAGCAGAGTTTGTGTAAATCTAACGATCTTGAAATTAAGTGTATGGTATGACCAGTCTGAAGTCTCTCAGGCAAACTTTCTTGTAATTTCTTTAAGTAATCCTCAGGAATAGTTCTCCAGGTTTCTTGAAGGACATCCAAAGCTCCTCTTTGGATGCTGACTTCCTTTTGTTCCATTCTGTCAACATGAACCCACAAGCTTCAATAATGTTGAGGCTCAGACTATGGAGCGGCTGATCCATGACTGACAGTGTTCCATTGTGTGTTTTTCTATACAGGTATGCCTTTTCTGCATTGGCAGTGTGTTTGGGAGGACTGTCATGCTGAAAAAACTGTTGCCAGTCAGATGCTTCCTAGATGCTATTGCATGGCGGATCACAATCTGATTTTGTACTTTTCTGCACTCATAATTCCATCAATTTTGACACTTCCTATTTTATCCTCTATTTGTACAGTTTGGGACATTTTCCAAGGACACACTGCACGCCATGCCAACATAGGCCCAAAGAACTATTCATTTTCAGTTAATTGTTAGTAGTTTTCAGCTAATAGCTCTTTGGGAATCAACTGATTGGTATCTGTGCCTGTCAAACTGTGGAATTACTTAGCACTTAGTTCCTCCTACGCCGGGCGGCGCATCGGGCAGTTGGTGATCTCCATCAATGTTGGTCAGCAGCGACTGCTTCAGCTTCGTCCCAGGCAATGTTGACAGTTCTCAGATCATCCGTGAATGTTCGACGCCATGTGGTCTTTGGTCGGCCTTGCTTTCGCTTGCCAGTGCGTGGACGCCATGTCATGACAATCTTAGCTGGGCGATGAGGTGGTAGGCGTAAAATATGGCCCGCAAAGCGGAAGCGCCTTTCTGCAACAACATCGGCTAATGGGCGGGTGCCTGCTCTTCGTAGGACCTCCTCATTTGTTATTCGGTCCCGGTAGGAAATTCTCAGGATTTGCCGCAGGCCACGTTGTTGAAGCACATTCAGGTGTTGAATAATTGCACTTGTTGAGCACCAGGTTTCACTAGCGTAAAGTGCAGTAGGGAAGACGATAGAGTTCAATAGTCTGATCTTGACCCTAACATTCAGGGAGGTCGAGTTCCAAATAGGTTGGAGACGTCGCAGGACACCAGCTGCCTTCCCTACTCTGGCGTCTGTGGAATATTTGGCATTTTTTGTACATTCAACTAAAAACATAGGAACAAATTACATGTTTTTGAGAAAGGCTGCTACTAATAAGGTGCCTAAAAATACAATTTAACAGTAGCACCCCCAGGCTTCTACCTTTCTACCTTTAAAACCCGGAGAGCAGCCAAATGGCTGGTA